CACTACCAGATGTTACTCTAGCAGATTTCCCTTCCTAATTAGGCCTCACTTAAAGTAGAAGTTAATTTTGTCTTCATTAGCTGTTTCCAAATCAGCAGGATAGGGCAAGGAGGAAGCCCAGGGCATCATGGGTATTTGGGGGAAGGTGGCCCAGCGCTAAAAGTCGGCAGTAGATCCTGCTCAAGGAATGAAATTCAAGTGCGGGAACTCAAGATGATGGGCATGTACACTGGAATGTGTAGGAACACCGTCTTGAAGAATTCTCAGGGTTTATCAACTCGTTTTTTTAATCCTATTAATCATTAATCCAAAAAAAATCCATAATGGGAATTAGGCAAAAAATCCCCCCCCCAAAAAAAAAACCAAAAAAGAACAATAAAAAAAAAAAAAAACCCTGAAATTTTGTACAGAAAAAAATAGAGCCTCAGAGAGGCTCAGTGACCCCTCACACAGATCGGTCTCTGAGTAAACAGTACCTAAGAAGAAACTGAAACTGATTAATGAATGATAAGAAGACCCCCCCCCCCCCCCCCCGTTTCCTTCTTATTGATGATTTGAATAATGAGGTAGCAAGAATTCTCTGGCCTAATTCGAATTAAGAGAGCTAAGATAATGAAGCTGTGATTAAATGGCTATTAAACTATTTTTATCAAACAGAGATCAAGCGAGTGTGAGAATCTGGGGACGCCGAGTGTAATTGCAATTCTACCAGATGCAGATAAAAATTACTACCCTAAGCAGGGCAGGGTCCTTCCATAACAGGCCACATTTAAAAATCTTTGGGATACCACATGCAGTTTTCACTCTGTGCTGCCGCCCTCAGGGTCAGGAAGCATCCCCGAGTCCCTCATCTCCTCCTTGATTCAGTGGCTTTATCTGCTCTCTGGGGTGTGGAGTTGGGTGAGTTGAGCGCACGGCCTGGCCCATGCAAACCAGTTGGACAGTCTTTTTGTCACCTGTCCACACAATAGGAAGTTCCTGTTATCACGCAACAGCTCCAGCACTGTAATCTGAAAGTGACTGTGGACACCCAAAGGAGCACTGTCCGCCTTCTTTCAATTGTACCTTTTGAATTATGTCAGGCCTAATCCAGGTCATATGGAAACCCAGCAGTCCCAAAGAGCAGTGCTGAGCCTTCAGATTCTGTTGACTGCTCTAAGCTCTCACTTATTGATGATGTGGCATGGGGTTGGAATCATGGTGGATTCTACACTTTGGGTTGTGGGTATAAATGCCTGTGTATCATCTGTCACTGGAGATTCTTTACACCTAGAGGGAGGTTGTGTGGATGTGCCTTCTTTCTTCCTGGAGAGCCCATGGAGAGTGAAGTTTTACAGGCACAGAGACCTTGGTTTAGGTTGGAAGAAACAGCAGCAGAACAGCATGGTGTAAGGAGAAGCCAAGGTTGGACTCCGCCCACCATAGGCAATGCTGCTCCATAGCCGAGGAGCTCAGCCATGGGGCACCTGTTGGCCGGTTTTCCTCTCTTGCCTTCTACGTCTGCTTCCAGTGCCAAGATGGAGCTAGGTTGTGGAGAGGTTGATCCTCACTTCTTTCCTTGCTCCTCTGCTTTCCTTTCTCTTATTTTTCAACTTGCACACAAGAAACATATTTTTTATATAAATTTCAAAGAATTAGCAAGCAGTATCACATCCAAGTCTTTGAAAGGTTACCTTGCGATGTCATTTTACTGACTACTGCCTTTCCATACCCTGTCACTTGTGAACAGACGTGTGTTCATAGGCCAGTGCACCTCATCTACAGCGACTTTGATTTATTTGCTCTGTAAATTGGGACTGAAGCAATAATAGAAAGTGACATTAATTGTTTAACAGAGTCCTCTTTGTCATATCCATTGCCTTGTCTGGGACTTGTGATTGTTGAATCTCATATGAAACTAATTGAAATTGCCACAGTGAGGGGCAGCGTCCACTCAACTTTGTGTTGTTGTTGTGTTTGTGTTGGGCTTCCACACAAAAGTGTCATCAATAAATAGCAAGATTTCTTCCCAGAACTCCATGATTAAAGAACATAGAGAGAATTTGAAATAATAATATTTTTTTCTTCCATAATTCAAAAAGAACTTTACTAAAACAAATGGTCTTTGAGAATCTCTGAGCCACTCACATTCAGGGATGATAATAAAAATATTTAACAATTACATTGAGCGGACACTGACTGTAAATAATGAACACAGACCTTCTGGTACACATTGATTGACTACGAGCCCTCCTTGCCCATATGAGTGTGCATGCCTGCTCACACACACTCACATGCATGTCATGCCAATCTCCCACACCCCCACACCCACCTCCTCCCATTGTGGTTCCAGTAGAGAGGAAAATTAAAGTAGTTGGTGGTTTAATCAGATCTTGTAAATTAATTATGACATTATCAAGCTCCAATATTTTTGCCATTGTATTTGGTGTACATTCACTCAGGCTTATTAAAGAAATTTGAGAAAACTAGTTAATTTAAGTGTTCTTTGTCATTTTGACTTGATTGGAATTATCATAGTTTGTTTACACAAGGGATAGAACTAAGGCACTATTGTATTATGTGATTGAAAGCAAATAGCAGCTTGTGATATTGCCGGAAAGCCAAACACAAAATTTAAATCACGGTAAACAAAATTACTCATTTATTGGTAAACATTTTTAACTGTTTTTCTTGAGTTCTTTTTGAACTTCAGTTAAAGAAGCCTTTTCGAATCATGGCATACCTGGAGAAATGTTCAGTTTACTGAAAATGTGTGTATGTGTCTGTGTGAACATGTGTATTTGACACAGTTTCAAAGAATATTTGATGGAGATAATATGGAGAGATTTATAGTCATTATTTCATGAGTTTGTGATGATTTAAAATAGTGTATATTTTATTTAAATATAATTATATTTAGAATAATTTAATAGTCTGAATTTGACTATTTGCATATTTGGGAACCTAAAGAGGAATGTGACTGGCATTTTTGGATATCAGAGTATAATTCTCTGCAGAAAATAAGGAGAAAATCTTTCCCTACCTTTATTATTAGGGCTACACAGATAGGGATAGGAGAATCGGGGATGGCCATGTCCAATAAGCTCTGTTTTGAATTGAGTAGTTTGGATGCTACTGAATTGGTCAGTAAGTGGAAGTAAGTGTGCCATTTTGAAGTTGATAAATCACTTCTGGTCAGGACTGACCTTCTTCAGTGGCGTCTAAGCTTTACTCAGTGGTCACACCACATGGTGTCCAAAGTACTTGACTCACAATCTCAAATCTAGGAGTAGCAGGGAGATGCATTTAGCAAATGTAAAAATGTGCACTGATATCCACCATGAGTACAAATGGCTCTTTTTGGCCTCTTGAGTCCCAAAGAAAAAGAAGCCTATAGTTTCACTCCCGGATAGAGACTGATTAGTAATGAGGGAAAACAATTTTTATGTGAAAATAGAATGCATACGTGATAAAACCCTGCCTAATTTCTCTAGTAATACAATTTGATTTTCTGATTAGCTGTCTTATTCTGTGATTCTTGTAATTTTGTCAGGTCAATTAACTGGAGTTCAGTGCTAGAGAGAAAGGAAGTGTGGGCACTGCTGGCTTCATTAGATGTCAGCAGCTTAGGTGCATTTTGTAATAGAATCTGTGTGGGATAATTTAGCACATATTGTTAATGTCATAGCGAACCGAACTTTTAGAAAAAGGACTTTGGAAGCCAGTCAAATTAGACAAACAATATAAAGTGCTAAAAGAAGGAAAAGAAAGTGATCCACACAGACTATATTGTTGGCAAAAAAAAATGCAGATCAATGAATTATTCAGAAAGTAATCATTGACTATCTAGACTTTGTGCCCAGCCCTGGAACTGACTGTCCAGGTGCATAGAACTTAACACGTTCTCTTGTTAGCAAGGTACACAATCCCAGGTTGGGAGTCCTTGAATGTTTTTCTGCAGAGGATCGAAGTTAGTACTCTCTTTTATAATCAATTTTTCACAAGTTCTTCCTTTCCACTGGAGGGTTCTTGGAAGGATAGAGTTTTGTCTCATTTTCTCTTTGTATCTCTACCCCCTCCACTGGCCGTGGCACAAAACAAGGTGTTCCAAACGTGTCTGTGGAATCAATGACTGAAGATTAGTTTTCAATAGCTGTGTTGGTGAAACTGAATCTGGGAGGTGGAAAAGAATACTACCCTGGCCACAAGTAAAAGAGTGCATTTAAGTCATTACAAAATAAGATTCCACCTAGTAACCAATCAGAAAAAGAGGGATTGAGGTAGTTGCAGAATTTAAATTTGGGGTTTTGTTATCCAAACTAAAGAATTCAGGAGAAATAGCAGCTTTGTTGTGATAAAGGTCCAAAGTTTGGGTTTTGAAGATGAGGGAGCGATTGTAAAGTAGAAATGTCCAGTAGGCAGTTAGAGATTTATGACTAAAGTTGGGAGAGATGTCAGGGAGAGAAATAAATGATTTCAGAGTGTTCAGTGATGAGATTATAATTGAAATCAGGAAAGTGTGTAGATTCTCCTGGTATCGTTTTACGTTTCTGGCAGTGTTCAAATGGAAGGTTATCTAAACATTTGCGAGGGTGCTGTATAGGAGATCTAAACACCGCATCTGCAGATTAAATAGAGGATGATTAAGATTCTCTTCAGCTCTCAGATTTCCTAAATCTTACCATTGAGTTAGGAGACAAAGACACAAGTCTGTGGAAAGGTGAACGACACACAGAATCACCCACAGCTGAATCAAGCACTGACCTACAGGCTGCTAAGCTGGACAGTCAGCAATCAGAGACCAGTACTGCAGAGGTATTCATTAAGCATGTGGTTCAGACCCAATATGAGTCAGGAGCCCGGGGAAGCCACGGTCGTCCTGTCCTGGCGAGGGTGCAGGATTCCACATACAGTTTACTCATTCTGTTGAACGCGTGCAGCCCGTGCTGATTAATAGTGCTACCCACCTCCCAATGTCAACTCACTCCTGTCTTCTTCCACCTTCTTTTCTGCTTTTCCAGAAGATAGATGAAGAAAATGAGGCAAACTTGCTCGCAGTCCTCACAGAGACACTAGACAGTCTCCCTGTGGATGAAGACGGATTGCCCTCATTTGATGCACTGACAGATGGAGACGTGACCACTGACAACGAGGCCAGTCCTTCCTCCATGCCTGACGGCACCCCTCCACCTCAGGAGGCAGAAGAGCCGTCTCTAGTAAGAACCCTTCCTACTGTTCGACTCCCACGAGCCGCCTCTGGCTACCCGCTGCATGGGCATGATGTAGAAGGTTTGGATTTTAGACTGATGCCAAAACAATCCTGAGGCACACTCACAGTCGCACATTCTGCCATTCTCTGTTTAAAAGTCTTGATAATTCAGTTTTTATGTAGTATTTGAAGTATTTTTAAAACCACCACATTCAAGCTGAGGATGTTACAGCACTTGCCTAGCCTGCAGGCGGTCCTGGGTTTGATCCTCAGAACTGCAAAATTATAGATATAGATAAATACAGATATATCAAATATAATTTTTTTGCTGTTTACATGTGTATGTTTTTATTTCTTAGTATTTATTTCACAGTGAAAACTTGAAAAAAGTAGACTAAAAAGGACTAAAAATTCATCTGTGATTTCAGAAAACCTATTGCATAAAAAAAATGATTGGATTCTCCTTTGATTTAAGATATACCATGAACATGTTGGTAAAATTTTAAGTATATGCATAATTTTTAGTGGTCTCATAGTATTTTATTGTATGGGAATGTAATTTATTATGTAATTACTTATGGTTGGATATTTAGGCTTTTGCCTCCTATTTTTCAGTATTATGAATTGTCTAATAATTGACATGGTTGCATTTTTATTCTTCTGCATACAATTCTAGAAATAGAGTTGTTGGATCTAGGGGTATGCAATATTTGAAGACGCTGGGTTCATATTTCTTATGAAGATTGGAAAAATAATAGCACATTTGCAACCTAAGTTACTTAAAATTTATGGTAGGCAATGAAGAGCAAATTTTCTTTTCAATGCAGTGCTAGACCAGAGTTTTATTAGTTCTAAGACACAGTTTACCTTCTCAGCTATGGTAGCCATTTGTCATTTGCCATAAATCTGATGTAAGAGCATGCTGTGTAAATTGTGAAACGCCAGCATCCAGACTCTAGTAACATGCTTTGGTACACCATTTGGAGGCATAGTTTTCTCACATCTCTAGGTTTTAAAACGTTGAGAGAATAAACATGGGGACCTTACTTGTATTCCTTTCTATTTTGAGATTTTTTGGTCTTGACAATATCTCATATGTAATAGCCTCTTGCTTAATCTTGCCATTTCTCCACTTCTAGTGTCATTAGCTTTACTGTCTAGTACTCTGATTTTTTATATTGATAACCAGATGATTTTCATCTGCACCATTTATTCAACTTGGGAGGGGGGTTGCTGGCCCAAAGACATCCTGTGTATAAGGGCAGGGAGATGCCTGAGAGTCATCCAGGCAAATGCAGAAACACATGGAGGACAGCCTTGTCTGTATCAGAGCCCTCGTCTTCCAACCTACATGCTGACCTACAGAGCTCGGCTCACGTGTCCTTTCTTTCCCTTCTGAGATCAGGATAGCCACTGTTTCTGCCCAAACATTCTGTGAGTCAGTCAATCTGGAGGGTTGGTTGTGAAACCTGTTAAAAGCATCACACAATCTTTCATGTATTGCCACTTGATTGATTTGAGTTTTAGAGGAAAATTGTGTATCTGATTCCTACGCCCAAGTCCTCATTGAGCAAATCAGCATTGCTTAACTCATAGTAGTGCTTTGGAAATCACTTTAGGAACAACTGCTTTATGATATAAAAAAATAATTTTAAAAATTCTGAACAATGCCAAGTCTCCAATGGAGGCAAAGGAACTATTTTCACGGTTGGTAGTACAATGCCAAACTTTTTCTTCACTTTTTAAAAAATGTTTCCTTGAGCACTATTGTGGTCAGGGGTGATAGAATTAAAGAGTGGTAGAGTTAATTTTTGTAATGATCATGAATTAAAGTCTAAAATTTCACTTGCTGATTTGAGTGTGTAAGAGACCCATAACTGCCTTGCTCTTTCCTTCCCTGATGTTCCCAGCTTAAGAAGCTCCTGCTGGCACCGGCTAACACTCAGCTGAGTTATAATGAATGCAGTGGCCTCAGTACCCAGAATCATGCAAACCACAATCACAGGATCAGAACAAGCCCTGCAGTTGTTAAGGTACCAACATAAATGTTTTAATACGACAGGGGATAATAAGCAACATGTTGTTGCTTAAAGCTGAGAAAACAGCCCCTACGTTTGTATGTATTAATCCAATCGGGTCCTGCAGTCACCTCATAGATGTGACAAAGATTATGAAATGGGTTTCCAGGAGCAGCATTGGAGCTACTTAAAACTTGAAAGAGTTTGTTTTGGCCTTGGCTTTGGATGATTGGGATGGAAATACAACAGAGTGTGATCCCTTGCTCACTTTATGAATACGTACAGCAGTCCAGACTCCAAGAACATGTGTGGATTGGCTGTAGTTGCCTATGAGTGACTTTAAGATGCAGGGTGGCTGTTTTGCCAGCTGTCTAACCTGAGAAACATTTCTTTGGAATCGCTGCAAAAGATCTGTCTCTGTCATTAATTGGATGGAATGCTCGCTGTATTAAACAATGTTTGTCTTGCCATTCACTGTGAGTGAAAACGGAGCGTTAAGGGGTACTTAAGAGAGTTGTGAATACTGGGCTTCAGCAATCAGCGGTAAATTAAGGTTTAAACCAGCTTACTTTTTTTTTTTTTTTTTTTTTATTCACAGTAAAGGCGCTGTAGGGTCTTGTTAGTTACATGTTGCTGAGTAGGAACATTGAAATGTAGGAGAAATGAAATAAAAAGCTGCATAAATGTCATTTAGGAATTTTAAATGTAATTTTCTTTCCTTGTTCTGCAAACAATTATTCACAGCTCATAGATCTAGTACACTTAGACTGAACACTTCACTGGAAATCTCATCTCTTCAGAAAACCTATATCCATTCTGATAAGGTTCAGTTCACTAATTTTAGCTTTCTCTCTGCCTTGTTTTTAAGACCGAGAATTCATGGAGCAATAAAGCGAAGAGCATTTGTCAACAGCAAAAGCCACAAAGACGCCCATGCTCGGAGCTTCTCAAGTATCTGACCACAAACGATGACCCTCCTCACACCAAACCCACAGAGAACAGGAACAGCAGCAGAGACAAATGCACCTCCAAAAAGAAGACCCACACACAATCGCAGTCGCAACATGTACAAGGTAGGCGGGGCCCCCGCGCGCTGTGGCGCAGCTCAGTAAAGACTCGGGGTCTGAGCGCAGATTGCGCGCTCTGCCCCGTGGGTGTCTTCGTGGAAAGGGAATTCAGCAGTTTATTACCGAGGGGAAGGAAACCCTTGCGTGGACACAGATTGAGCATATCCTGTTCCGCTGATTGGCAGTAGCTGCAACTACAAAAAGATCCCGGAAATTATAGCTGGGTGGAGGGTGAAGCAGAGTGGGAAGGAATTGCGACATCCTTGAGGCTTAGGGGAATCTCTGAATTGCTGAGATGGTAGAAGTTAGGTGTGATCCGGGCTGGCCCACTCATTAAAGAGCTTTTATTTTTTCCCTTTGGGTAATGGAAAAACCGAGTCGCTATAGATTTACTCTCTATACCTTAAGAAGTAGTAAACACTATTTATGTAGCCTCTCCTCATTAAGTGCATTCTTCTTTTCTTCTTCATTTACACACCACACGCTGTGCTTACAGATTTTATATTGTATGTAAGGATTTAGAAATTCCTAAATTTCCTTTTTCTATTTTTTCCCTCATTTTTTTTTAAAATTGCCTAGATTAAACAAAACATCTGGGTTGATTTTTTTATTATTTCTGTACTTTGCTAGAAAGCTGATGCTTCCATTGTCAATTGGGGTGATTTTGGGAAAATCTCTGGGCAAAGGTATAATTTTCTTCTTTAGTTCTTCCCCCTCAAAATGTTGTAGTCCAGGAGGCCCAAAGAGAGCTCCTTGTGAGTGACCGCTGTTTAAAACAAGCCAGTTCCTGTTCTACCTCTAACATTATCTAGAAGGAGGCATATTCTAAAATAACCATTATAAACACCCACCTGTTTTTTTTTTTCCCTTTTGTTTCTCCAACTTCTCCTTCTAGCTGCAGAATGATAGTCCCTGATCCCTGTTTTGAACCATGATTGTTTCATACAGGTATGCTGTTGTTGCTGCTGATATTCATTAGTATTTACTTCCCCACTGTTTTGAATCCCCTCCCTTCATCTCCTCCACATTAGCACAAGATTTTTAGGAACTTCCTTTTAATATTTTAATTGGCTCTCCATTGGGTTTTCTGTGGTGGATCTGTCAAGTTCATTGTCCATCTCCTTCTGTCGGTTTGGAGAGAGATATATTAATGACGTAGGCCAAGTTCCCTTACAGCTCCCTTTGTGCAGATTAGTACCTAATGGCAAGCTCTGTTACAGTTATTTTTGGGGGGGACAGAACCCCATGCTAAGTGACTCAGTTTGTTGCAGGCCTACAGGGAAGGGTAGCCTTTGGGGTAGCTATAGAAAGTGAGCAGAAGAGTTTGCTGTGCTTTTCTGCACCTTGTCATTCAGACATTGGTTTTCTGAAACTGAACTTGAAGTCCTGAGCTCCCTAAAATCCTGTGATCAGTGAACCCAGCCCAGCAGCACCTGGCTTAAAAGTCTTTTTACTTTTTTTTTTAAGCTGGTCCTTTTAGATTTTGAGGTTTTTGTAAGTCCACATCCACTAATATTAATCACTGTAAACTTATAAATCATGGTAGTAAGAAATTAAATAGGCCTCTGGAGGATTTATTCTCTAGGCAAGACCAGTTACATGTGGATTTTGTTAAGGTATGTGTCTGTGGCAAAGCATAAAATCTTATCCCAGAATAAAACCCACTGGTTAAAAAGAAAAAGTTCCTGTTACTAAGGGACTACAATTCTATTTATTAAAGGCCTAAAAGAAATAAACCGTGGCTGACTATTAATAACCAATAAGTACTCAACTTCAGAGATTAATTCATTATTTAAGATCAAGAAGTAAAATGTACATGAACAGTTGAAGACTCTAATAAAGATTGCTGAGATCCCCTTTCCAAATGTGCTATAAATTTTTTCCCCTGAACTTTACGTGTGCTCTCTGTAATATTGTGGGATCATGTACTTTTCAGTTCCTTAGGATGATCCACTGGTCTTTGGTATGTGTTGGTGTCCCATTTATTCGTTCATTCCCTAATGTGTTTAACCAAAAAGCATCATCTACATGAAAAAAACCCATTCCTGTCCTTAAGGAGCCCAGCAGTCTCTAGTTTACCAGTCCTTGCAACATTGTCCATTAAACTCCCAGTAAACCAAACCAATTCTCTTAGGAGTAGGAGCCTGGTTGATTTGGGGATTAGGTGCTGAATATGGTTTGGGGACTGCACTCCTCCTATAGTTCTAATTTCCTTTTTGCCATTGGTCCCATTAAATATGGCTCCTGCTGATTCAGCTTCTTCCCTCCCTTGCCCTTGGCCTTACCTATGCACAACTACCACAACTGTTGGGGTCTTCCCTTGAGCATTTCAGAGTCTGACTACATCTAGAAACTGGAATTCAGTTTCTGATTTTCAAGGTATATTTATTGTGTCAAACAGCATGTAGTTCCTTATCTGGTTATATTTTCTATGGAACCTGTATGAATTATCCTAGTTCTTAGTTGAACATCATAAAAGTGGGCAAAGTTCCTTCATAAATGAGTTATTTTTGAAAGGCTCATTAAATTAGACATACTCAAAAATTAATGTGAAATCAGTTCATTTGTCTGTATATATGTAAAAGCCAATTAATCGATGTGCCTAATTTGTAGAAGACAGCATGAGCTTCATATTTCTGGATGCACATCGGGTAGATGATATACCATTCGATTGTTTAAAAACTAAATCTAAATCTACAAATTAAATATGTAAATACTATTTATCCAAGTAAAGCACCTAATTTCAGGCTAATTTGGACATAAATAATATTTTCCCACTTCAAAGGACCTTAATTACTGGTTTTGATTAATTTATTTGAAAGTCTGTTGAATATAATTCCTTTTGATAACAGGAGAAAGAAAACATCTTGACCAGTTCTGCCAGGAACCAGTTTTATGGCCCCGCAAATATCATTTAGCATCTTTGGGTGTCAGTTTCTTCATCCATAGAATAAGAAAGTTTATTATAAAGACACTTTTGGTTTCAACTTCATGATTTTCATTGCATAAATAACTACTTTTGACCTTCTGAAAGTAGTTGCTTGATGAGAAAAAAGTTGATATGGACTTGTATACATGCAGGTGTATCTCCATAGAAGAGCTTAAGTACAAATGAAACTTGGATGTCTAGCTCAAGTACATTTCTCATCACACGTTCCCTATTTCTGTTCAGAATATAAGACTGACATGGAGATTTTGGGATGAGAAGACTCCCACCCACTTCCCTCTCATTATTGGGATATGCCTCCTATAGGAAATAGGACTTAGTAAAGACTGAAAGAAATTGGAGAGCTCTCTTTGCAAGTCTGTGGATCTCTCAACTGCCAAACACAATATCTAACTTCAGTTGTCTATTAGAGTTGGGGTTCCAAACTCCATTTAAGCCATCTGGGTCAATGCCCACCATTTGCCATCATCGCTCAATTAATTTTCAGTGAATGGAACAGTTATTGCTTGAGCTTCGGCCTCATAGAAATAACCTATTCTCAGGGCTAGATATAAAATTATACATTTTAGGAGTAAAATCAACTGAATATTCATAACGTTCTGTCACCTTATAGTTACTCTGCTGGTTTTTTTTTTTTGTCTAAACAAATCATGTACTGTATTCCAAATTAAAACAGAAAACATTATTTCTCTCTGATGGTATGATGCAAATTTTGTATTCTTAACAGGATGGTACATTTTGGGAAAAATTCTGTTTTTGTATGTGTTTTCAAATGATAGTTTACTGATGCAAATGTTGTTTGGAATTTGTTTTAGCATAATGGACTGTTCTCTGACTTTGATCCAATTTTCAGGGATTCCCCTAGTTCAGCTTTCCAATTTTCCCGGTCATATTTCTAACCTGACTGTAGTAGAAAGAAAATAAATCTAAAAAGTACTCCATATTTCATAATTAGTTCTTTTTTTCTCCTTTAGCCAAACCAACAACTTTATCTCTTCCTCTGACCCCAGAGTCACCAAAGTAAGTATTAAGAAATGTAACCATTTTCAGAAAGGGAAGGGGGTTCTAATACATTTGGCTACAGCAACTCCATTTCAGTTTGTTTTTATAAATGTGCCATATCTTCCAGTGACCCCAAGGGTTCCCCATTTGAGAACAAGACTATTGAACGAACCTTAAGTGTGGAACTCTCTGGAACTGCAGGTAAGCCTTACTTTTCACTTGGAACGTGTGTGTGTGTGTGTGTGTGTGTGTGTGTGTGTGTGTGTGTGTGTGAGTGT